TATAGTGAATAGAAAAGTCTATATCTCCCTTGGAGTAGATTGTTTGATCAAAATGGGTAAACAAATTATTGTGTTTCTTGTATTTATTTTATCTTCTTCTGCCAAGTTAAATTGTTGTCTTATTCATTATAGAGTTACTTTTGATGCTTACCATTTATTTTAGTCGTCATTTTTCTTTCTACCTACACATCAAATTTCTTGGTGTTATTGAACCTTTCATTTCCACAACAAGTGTCTCCCACCGTAGGTAAATAATGATTATGTTCAGACTACAATGCCTCTGATAAGGATAATTATGAAAGTGTTGTTGCATTAATGGTGTCAAATTTGGAGACTCAAGAGGGCTGGGTTGTAGACTCAAGTTATTCTTATCACATATGTCCAAGAAAAATATACCTAAAGACTTTAAAGCTAGAGTATGGTGAAATAATTATATTTAGTGACAATAAGGCTTGCAAGTTTTGTGGTATTTATATGGTCAAACTTCAAAATTTTGATGGTCGTGAATTTCTTCTTCACAACATGAGGCGTGTTTTATGATCTAGGCTATTGCACTAGAGTTAAACACGAGGTGTTGAAGATTTTGCAAGGTAAAATAATCATAGCTAATGGGTTTAAAGTATGTGGTTCATATATTTTAGAAGGTTCAAATGTTGTTATTCATTCATCATTGGCTAGTGAAGATTTTCTTGACAAAAACAAGTTATGTCATATGAGATCAAGGCATGGTGAAATCCTGAAGGTTGTTTCGAAACTCTTTAATGGGTTTTGCAGAAAACAAAGAATAAAAATACATGTGACATTTGAGTTGCTATTGAGTTTTTGGGATAAGGTTAGTGCCAAAGTAGCTTACATGGTAGGAAGATGTTCATATAAAGAATAAACTTTCAAACATAAGTTTCTAGTAGGAAATTTGAAAACTACCCTTATTCGAAGGTCAACAAAGCTTTTCATATTATATAAATCAAGCTAATTCAATATAATGGTAAAGTTGTTGATTATGCCTTCAATGGATATCCTAGAGGTACGAAGAGTTATGAGTTGTTAGGAGTGAAACTTAGAGATGAAAGTTCATCAATCAAGATGTATTACTTTTAGTGAGTCTTGCACGAGAAGAAGAGTAAACAATTGGGGATGAAACTTTTAAAAACTTTGGCAGAAAAGACTCAAGGTGAGATGAAGGTTCCTACCATGGATTTTATTAGCAGTGAGGGAAAGATTACAAAACTTAACACATAATAAGGTAATGAGGGAGAATTTACCATCTCGGAGGGACGGTTATGCTAGCATTGGTGTTATCCTTTGAATGTGGCTGAAGGATTGCAAAAATCAAAAGCATGAGACCTTCAGGTAGGAATTCCAGAGCAAGCGGAGTCAAATATGGTTGAAGAACCATACTCGTTGGCTTGTTAGACTACTAAAGGATGAAAATATGGTTGAAAGGGAGTGGATTCAAGTGGCAGGATAAAGTTCAAGTATGGTTGAAACTTGATCAATGTTTTTAAACATTAATACAACATGGTAGAGAGCAACAAGGTGGTTTATGGTTAAGTTGACATCACCATGATTTTAAGTTAAGGTAGGTATTGTTGAAGTATCCCTTGAATCGTCAAGTGACGAAGAAAAAAATATATATTTCGAAATTGCAAAAATGAAAAATCTATAAAAGCAACTAGAAAGTCGACAAAAGGAGTCAGAACCCCGAGTAGGTGGTTTGGACGAGGTGGTCAATAGTACAACAATCATGCATCGGCTCGGTCGAGTGGAGGTTTGAGTTAATATGCGGGCGGTCCGAGTTTCTGTTCATCCATTCATTCATGAACCGGTTCTTGCATTTTGGGCTTTTTCGTTTCAGTCCATTGATTCATTCATGAACTGGTTGAGTTTTAGGCTTGTTATGGATTTGTTGGGTTTCATTAATTATAAATATGTATCTATGTCATTCTTGTTATCACAACCTTTAGAAATTTACAACTTGAGATAAAGGGAAGAGGTGTCAATTCTAGTATGGGTGGCAAAATGGATGGATTGGATGGATATGGATTGGATTGTTAATGGATGGATTAAAACGATCCATTAGTCCATTAACAATCCACTAAAATTTTCTTAAAATTATCCAATCCAATCCATCCATTAAGAATAAAATCCATCAAATCCATCAATTAACATATTTTTAATGGATGGATATCCATTCATCCAACTTTTTTTTTATTTCGTAAAAATAAATATATTTCTTTATTTTTAAAAAAATGATTTTATTTTATTTTTGAAAAATTCATTTTTTGTATTTTAAAAAAAAATTAATATATTTATTAAAAAAACTGAATTTTTTGTATTTTCAAAAAAAAAATTGATATTTTAATTTTTGAAAAATATCGATTTTTTCCCCAAAAAAAAAGTCGGTTTTTTTTTTGAAAAACAAATCAGTTTTTTATTCTGAAAAAAAACCGATTTTTTCCCAAAAAAAAGGTCGGTTTTTTTTTCGAAAAACAAATCATTTTTTTATTCTGAAAAAAAAACCGATTTTTTTCGAAAAAAAAAAGTCGGTGTTTTTTCGAGAAAAAGTTTTATTATTTTTTTTTCGAAAAACAAATCAGTTTTTTATTCTAAAAAAAAAACTGATTTTTTTCAGAAAAAAAAGTTCGATTTTTTTTCAAGAAATAATTTTATTTTTTTTCGAAAAACAAATCAGTTTTTTATTTTGAAAAAAAACGGATTTTTTCAAAAAAAAAAACCGGTTTTTTTTCAAATAAAATTAAACTTTTTTTTTCAGAAAAAAAATATAATTTTTTAGTTATTTTAAAAAAATAAATCTAACGAAAATAAAAATAATCCATTGGATCCTTAAAATATGTTGGATGGATTGAATTCATTCATGCATATAAATGGATGGATTTAATTGCAATCCATTAACTTATTTTTTGTGTGGCGGATGGGTTGGATGGATTTTTTGATGGATGGATTGGATGAATTTTGTCTTAATGGATTCAATTGCCACCTCTAAATTCTAGTAAGAGAAAATTTAGATAGTTGTTTTTGCTAAAGAGGATTTGTTTTGGTTGTCATTTTTTTTGTCCTCACAAACCAAATTTCTTCGTGTGATTGAACATTTTGATTTTACAACAAAGGCCTTAGCAAGGGAAGAGACAACATCAAAAAGGAGAATAACAAGAGGAAAAAACGACCATTCATAGTCTTCATCTATACAGGTTACCATTTCATTCCTTCTATCACCAAAGGGTTCACACACCCAAAGATGTCGACCAAGGGACCTATGAAAAGAAGATTGTAGAGTTATTATTAGTAGATAGGAAAAGAGAATTGTCCTCAAGAGAAACCATGAACGACCCAGCATAGGTTTCAGGGCGGTGAAAAGGTATGAAACATCTCTAGCAAAAATTTTCCTTAGTCATAGAGACCACCAAGGCCAACTTTAATGTGTCAATGATCTTCATTGATGGAGGAAGTTTATGTGATATCTTGTATGTCAAACTATTCACTAAGATGGGCTTGAGAAGAGAAAGATTGTCACCATACATGGGCATCCATCTAGAAGGCTTAAACGCATCATTAACCCGACCTTGGATTTTTTTTAAGATCATGGTCACCTTTGGAGAAGGGAGAGATGTCATGATAGAAGATATCCAATTCTTGATAGTTCCATGCCAAATCGTTTATTATTACATCTTAAGAAGGCCCTTCATAGCAGCATTGGTCGATGTGGAATCTACAGACCATTTGAAAAATGAAATATCATAATGTGCATGACAAAGCAGTAACCATTTTTATACATAAATGAGCATGTTGTTGCCACAAAGCATTGTAGAGAAACTTGGACACAACTACTATCCAAGAAAAGCAAAAGGCAAGAGAAATCAATCCTGTTAGACAACACTCTTTTAATCATAAACATCTCAGACTTTGACGCACATCTAGAGTAAATCAGTCTATATATGAACACAACTTAAAGAGACCTCTTTTCGTCAAAGCAATAATGATAACCCAACACAAATAGTAAAGATGTGGGCAAACATACGAAGTTCGATGGAGGAAGGACTTATCAAAATGCCTCAAAGACAAAGTTGATCTATTTAAGACTTCCCTAAGGAGATGCAAAGAATCAACCCAATGTTGTGTGCCCCAATTGAATATTACATCAAATATATGACCAAAAGAAGATGACAACAGTCATCAAACAAAGTTGAGGTTATCAAAAACACCATCTTCATAACTAATTTAAAGTATATAGATCGATTATCCAACATAATGTTGGTGAAAAATGCAACTGATAAGTGTGAACGTACATCAATTAAAGTGACCTCAACAAGGCATGCTAAAAAAACTCATATCCTTTCATTAACACTGGCAAATTGGTTGACAACTCTACATGATGTAAGCTCTTACCATTCGTGGAAGCCTACTTCATTTCCAGCCCGATTCTCATGCACAAGATGGATTGAGACAATAGCTCTTACCATTCATGAAAACTTATTTCAATTACAACATGATTATCACGGGAAAGATGGATTGAGACAAGACCATCTTCATGTCAGAACAAACGCCAATTACATATACCAAAGGACGATGAATAAAATATTTAGGCAAGAAATTGGCAATATGTTGGAAGTGTACTGCTGCTTTGAATTTCGGCTAGAAACATGAATTTGTAATGTAGTTTGGTACTCGTTAGTGAAGTTAATAAACGAAATCAGTGAGAAGAACTATCACAAAAATAAGAGTTACTTTAACTTATAAGCAAGTGATCTTTTCATAATCCAATATTTGGGATAAGTCACTTGAAAAAAGAAAAGGAAAGTTGCAGTAGTTCAATATTTTATATTTCCAACAGACAGTTAATGAAACCACCCGACTTAAGCCCGGGATAGACAAACATATGCACTTATTACAAAATGGAAAATACTTCCAGCTCATAATGTTTACTTCATTTTTCCAAGAATATAATGAAAACTTCAAAATGGCTAACAAGATAGTTGGACGATTCACTCGTCAACTGGCCTTTGCCCTAGCACGGAAATGTCTTCATACCGTTTCTGCAGAAATATAATTAAAACTCCATAAGTAAAAATTTAATGACACAGAAGTTGTATCAAATCATAAAGTTAAAAACAAAACACAAAGGAAGAATAGATTGATATTGACAGTACTCAATTAAATAATTTTAAACTACAAATTGACAAAACAGCATAACATAATTATCACTAAAACAAAAAGTCATGCCATAAGTCAGTGTGAAAACAGAGGAATGATACATCCAAAACAAGCTCCTCATAAGTCACGTGGAAGTCTCTGAGTTAAAAGAATAAAAAAATAGTAATGAAACCAGCCAAATAGAGTGCAGAAATTGAATGAGTGATTGTGTGAAGCTCTTTCTGAAGAACATTAATAGAGCAATGCAAAATAATCAAATAGGAGCTTGTTTGTGTGAACCCTTTCTTCATAAGAACAAAACTAGATAGCACAGTGGAATGCCCCAATTGGTCGCTTCCAAACTTATTTGAATTTTCAATTTCTTGGTTGAGATTTAATGGGGGAAAACAAATTGAGGAATTGTTAAATTGATACTACCAGGAATGCAAAATCACACTGATTTATGAATATATCACATGATTCAAAGTTATTTATGATTCATTATAGGATACAAACAAACTATTGGCTTGCCGGATCATATTGAATTTTGCAATCCTAATGGCTATTTCTATAATCAAAGGCTTGTGTTTTATGGGTAAAAAACAAATAATACTAGTGGCAATAGACACCTGTGATGAGAGTGAATAGACACTCATCCTCTTGTCAACAGAAGTCCAACAATAACATTCCTAAACTATATTTCTATAATCAAAGGCCTGTTTTTTAATCTGGTCTTTTATGCCTAACCAGCAATAACATTTCCAAACTATATTTGATCATTCAAAAAATTATACTAAACAGTAGAATATACTTTAATATGAGTTTATGACAAATGGGTAACACTATAGCGGAGGTTGATCCATGTAGCCGACCCCACTTAGTGGGATGAGGCTTGGCTGTTGTCGTTGGGTAACTCTAGCCAATTTTTCTTGTTATGAAAAAAGGCCAACCAAGGAAATGAGATGGTCAAAAAGTGGCATAGACGAAGGTAGGGGAAAGAGATAGCAGCTGCAAGTGAATAACATTTCATGCTCCCTAATGAGTTTTTTGAGAGAACGAAATGTAAGGGGGAACAGTTGCCTCAGAAAAGAGTGGATATAAGGGGGTGTGCTTTAAGCCAATGTTAGAGGGAGAAGACATTTGCATTTATGAGTTCTGAGGAATACCCGACGGTAAACAATGAAAATTGATTAAAAAAAAATTCAACAAAACCTAAAAAGATTGAAACAGATCAGTGCACTCATAACACACCGTGTCGGAATTACTTCATCACACAACAGGTGACTTGGATTGAATGGAATGCAATATGTTAACATTATCATGTAGTATCATAATGTAGGAAACAAAGAGTGAAAGTTGGAAGAATTGGTGAAGAAGAACCAAAAGAAACAACCAAAAAAAACAAAGACTAGTGAACAAGATCAGAGCGAACAAAATTCAGCAGACCAAATATATAACTATCTCAAATGAATTTTGCACCGAGCGATTATGCTACGAGCAACTACGAGAAAGTCAGATGATGATCAATCTCCTAAAGTTTCCACACTTAATAGCAATAGAAACGCAAAAGACCTTTCCCATTTCCATACTCAGCCTAGCAAGCATCTGATGATAACCCAGATTCTTCACAGAAACACCATGCAAAATCCAGTGACACACATCATAACCCAATTCAACACTTAAAAAAAACTCAATTCAACATCACATAAATTAATAGGGTAATCATTTATGTGCTATCAACAGATTCCAGTTACATCAAGGTTAGGCAAGTTTCGAGGTCCCCACAGTTGAAGCCAAGGTTTCATGTTAGAATAAAATAAAATAGCAATCCAGTATACACTAAAAAAATCAATTTATTTATCCTAAAAGATTATTCTTCAAACAAAACTACAGAACAATATTTCCACAACAAAAAATTGAAAAATATCGCTGCAACCAAAAATGCAAATTTCACAAGCTCGGTCGCTTTCAAAGTTATAAAGTTATATAAATGAAAAGAGATCTTGAAACTAACTCCAAGAAGAAGATCGGGAATTTAATCGAAGTTATATAATAAGCCTAATTTAAAAAAATCGAAAGATTAACCATAGAGGGGAATAGATTCAATACCCCAACATTATTGCTTTCCCATAACTTGTGAACTCCGTAATCAACAGCCTGCAACGAAATTCAGAGATCTTCTGTGAGAAAGAAAGAATAAACGAAAATTGAATAATCAGATAGAAATGAAAAGGGAAATTAACAAACCCGTTCTCCGAGGAAAGCGCCGGCGATGACGAAGGTAACGTAGACAGAGTTACGGCGCATAAGGACCTTGTAAAGGCCTTCGAAAACGCCTCCTCCTCTTCTTCTAGCGGCGGATTCCATGGTGAGATACGGTGGTTTGATTTGATTCAAATGTTGTTCGCAATCTGATTTGGGTTCTAGGGTTTGTTTGTTTGTTTGTTACCACGCTCTCTTGTTCTCTCTATTCCTTCAGCGTTCTCAAACGTAAAGAAGGATGGAGAATTCTATGACCGATTCAAATGGACCGTGCCGAGCCGGTGTCTGTTTGCTTATTCGTACTAATGGGCTGGGCTGGGCTGCCTCGCATGGACCATATATTTCAATGGCATTACTTTTCACACCCAAAGTGATGCCTAAGCATTTTAGTGAAAAATTTAAAATATCTTAAAAATATGTTCGTATTAAAAGTACACATCACTTTATTTCGTATGTGATACGTTTACATTTTTTATAAATTAGTATGGAGATATATTTTCGTAAGAAAAATACGAATATACTTCCGACAGATTTTGAGTGTTATTAGCGCACCAGACTTTTCTTATTCATCTTTTTCAGCAGAGCTTATTCCAAATAAAAAAAGACGTGCGTGTGATAAACTTCATTTCTCTCACTTCCAATATTTCTCAAATTGTCTACTGACTATGCCTAATCCAAGAGTTTTATCAATCATTACACAAGTTCATTCTAACTATGAGCTTTATCAATCACTATTGATAAGCTTTTTCATTTCCCTCTTTTTTATTTATTTGTAAAGCATCCATTACTAAAAAAATTGTTTATCTAAACCATTTTCACACATGGATTCTCTCTCACTTTCCACTCCTCTCTAGTTGGTCATACGAGGATGATTACTCTAAGGATTTTCCATGTGTTTGCGCATATATCTCAATCAAAGAGAATTAGACGATCGAGTCATTTCGAGTGTTTCTTGATCACACTACAACAAATGATATACGTTACACACTAAACGACACCCACCTTCAAACGTGTCTTGTGGATGACATGGTCTTATATACTTTGGATGGTTGACTTGTGGTTCACGCCTGACGTGTGGTTTAATGGATAACAAATTTATTATGTTAGTATATTATTATAAATGACTTATAGTATAATATTTCTAAAAAAAGTGTCTAATCTTACTACCGGATGGGTTATTACATAAGTATACTTTCATAAATTTTACGGAGATGCATCTCTGTATTAATTTATGGTAAAATGAAGATAGATGGCTCGCTTACAAATGAATATGATGTATTTGGGGTGCGTACGAAAGTATAATTCTGAATTTGGGATAAACAATTTTGGATTTAAAAAGGGAGACTCTTCACCACTAAGGATGAGAATAGCAACTTCATATTTCAATTTCTCGAGAATTTGTCCTACCAGACTTTCTGTTAAACTTGATAGTCCCCCAATTTTTTATATTGACAAAAATTGTCTTCTCATTATTTACCCCATCTTAGATTTACATTTGCCTAAAAAATTAACTTTCAAAGAAGTAGTAAGAATAAAAAAAACCAGATAGTGTATTTAAAATCTAATAGAGTTTTTTACTTATACAACTCAAATTTTTGAAATTTTATCGAATTTATAAAAACCCAGTTTTTATCAGATTTTTAAAAATCCATGAAATTTCATTTAGTTTTTTTTTTAAATCCTATAAAATGCAGGTAGCTTGGAGAGTTGTAAACTTACAAAGATTTCCTAGATATTTAGAAAATATGGTATACGAGATATTTAGCCCATCCTTGGAAAATGTGGTAGTTCAATTCAATATGCTTTTGTTATTCGCTCATGAGGTGGATGATTCTTTTAAAGATTTTACGCATATCTTCACAGTTGATGATCTACGTTTTACTTGCATGTTTTTTAATCTTGTGAAATATTTAATTGACATTTGGTATCTCTGTTGATATAAATCATTCATTATATATTTTAATAGAAATATATTTCTCTCAGACCGATGTGTTATCATGGGCACAATTTATTGGGAGACACCATGGTATTATTTTGTTATTGGTCATTATGATACAACAAACACACAATAAGGAGGAAAGATAAATTTATTATAGATTGTGAGAGATATAATAGTAAATTAAAAGAACCATAAGGAGAAAAACTTGAAAATGAGGAAAACTTCACATGGGCATTGGACAAGTTGAAGGAGTTGTTCACATTCGAGAAGTTGCTTTCTAAAGTCATGGTGATGGATCAGGAATTTTCCCTGGTGAATGTCATAGAATTTGTGTTCTCGTCCTCAATTCATTTGTTGTGTGTGTTTCGTATTTCAAAAAAGATGTTAGTACGAAGTGTAAAAAGGATGTCGAATCTAGTAGGCAATAGAATGTAATGAATATATGGAGAAAAGTTATGTATTCAAATAGTGAGTGTGAGTTAGAGCAACACTTGCAACATTTTGAGGTAGTATGTGTTGATATACCTTCATTTTTTGAGCATGCACACAAAACATGGTTGAAACCCTATAAAGAGATAGTTGTTGTTGCTTGGACTAAACACGTCACTCATTTAAGGAACACTTCAACAAACAGGTACATCCTTTATTAAGCAATATTTTATCAATTTATTTATTATATCTTTCTCTATTATTGTTTTATAGGGCTGAATTTGCCCATTGGAGACTCAAAAACATGTTGATTACCAGTCAAGGAGATTTGTGCAAATGTTAGGATATTGTGAACACAATGTTAAATTTGCGAGTCAGTGCAATCAAAAAATTGTTTTAAAAAAATGTTACCAACATTGATCGTCAGTATAACACTTCATTTTAATCGGGATTACTCGGCTTCGTATCATGATGCTGTATAAAACACATTGCAAATAAGTTACAAATGGGTAAAATTTATTGGTTTTTATAAAGTTATATATGATTTCCTCATTAGGACAATACATGGGGTACTTTATGGGTGCGAACTTGTAGGTCTCCAAATACAAGGTTACAATATTCTATTATAATTCATTCACGTGTTTTGAAAGAAATTCACATTAAAGAGCATGACGTCATTGAGGAGGAGAATGTGACACAGTTGGACTTAAAATAAGAATGTGAAGAGTTAAAGAGTTGTTTAAGTACCTTCGATATTATTGGCCAGAGACTGGTGAAGAAAAAAGTTCAGGAACTAACATATTCATGCACAAATTCCATGTGTCCACCACCAGTGAAGTACAAGCTAAAAAGTGAAATTGATGAGAGTAAAAAAAGGGGGAGAGTAATGTGCATCACGATTCTTCACATTAGAAATATGCTAAGGCCTCGTTGGGAAGTCAAACAACAGAGAGATCATCTAATAAAGTTCTATCTAGTCATCCGTCTAGCAAACTTTGTAGACCTATTTACCTATCTCAGTTTTCTATTTCCTTACATGACTATATTGAAGATTTTATAAATGTGAATCCTGATGGAAATTGTAGTTTCTATGTTCTTGCAACTTTACTTGGATGGGGTGAAGAGTCATGACATTGGTTCGGGCACAAGTAAATGGTAAAGTTTATCTAAATAATTAGTTGTATTACAAGGTGTTATATAACACGATATTTGAAGTTAAGAGTTTTGTTGCTAGTATTTAGATTGGGATTTCAAGATTATAAGAAATGGATGACAGTTACTGACATGAGTTATCGTATTGCTTATAGATAATACGTGATACTGGTCTCGTTATTTAGTAACCATAACATCACTTTTTTTTCCACTCGTGGTTTCTTCGTTTATGTCTGCGAATAGACATAGAATGATTGTTAGTAACAATCATTTAATTCATGTGAAGTTAAAATCTGGTTCTCCATTGCTTCTTTTTTTCATCCTTCTTATTAGGTTTCTCGGGTAAGGTGTAACACCCTAATTTTTCCCGCGTAGTTATAAATAAAATAGGAGTAAATTAAGCATTCAAACAATTAGGAGGCTACCTCGAATCAAACTAGCTTGTGCAATAACATATGTAACACATACAACTTTAAAAATAATAATAATAATAACGTGTCTGAACTTTAACTTTATTTAGCAGCGAAAAAACATCAACAACTGATTTGTTTAACATTTCCAAAACAGAATCATAACATAAAGTTATTTAGGAAATTATCAAAAACATAGGAGATATACGTAACAATCTCCATCAAACATAAATAGGACACAAGCGTTCCATCCCAGTATTACATATCAGAGCAGACGTCGACTCAACAAAAAGCATAAGGAAGAGCACTCTCTTCCACTCACATCACGCCTCTATTGCAGATTATATGCACGATGCCCATGTAAAGACAACATTTAAATAAAAGGGCCGAGAAAACACAATTATATAAAAAAATGCACAATAATATGTAAGCACGCCATCAACATATGCATAAACACCCAATCCACAAATTCACACTTCACACAATACACACATTATAATGCAACATGTATGCAAATACAAAGAGACTCAATGCACGTGGTATTAAATGTGAACTCCCAGGTTCACTCGCTCCGATCCCTACCATAGGATCAGAGCCTACCAAAAATCGTTACCATCATCAAAGGTAACACTTAACCGAATCCTGTTTGGAACTGACTACTCGCACCTAATCTCCGCCATATGATTGAGGCTCACCAATACGGACCACAATCCAACACCACGACGCATGATTCATAATTAACATGCAACAACAGCAACAACAATAATGCAACATACAATGATATTCACCTTAATCATTATACCACCCAAAAACCGGCCACCAAACATCAAATATATACTACAAATATTCAACCATAGCATGATAGTAGTACATCAAGTAATAACACATCATTCTCACACAATGCCACACCGCATACCATTCAACACCATTTAAAATCATTTATAGGTAATGAAACTATTTTTAAAATAAAGTGCACTGCGTCAGCTTCACAATGCTTTGAACAATACCTCAAACGGACACTTAAAACTCAAGTTATGAATTTTAAAAGTTTGACAGAACAGGTGTAACCGGTTACCCAAAAACAGATAACTGGTTACCACTTAATAAAAAACAGTTGTTAATCCATCTCAGTGTATCCGGCTACACCAAATCCAATAACTGGTTACACACTTTACAAAATACCCAGTTACGCTATTTTTTGACAGTGTAACCGGTTACACTAATACATGTAACCGGTTACACCTTAGAAAAACCCACATTTTATAAAATTTGTCTCAGGTGTAACCGGTTACACCAAAAATGGTAACCAGTTACCACTGTGAAATAATCAATTTTTCTGCAACTTTTTGATACGAAACACATATTTTGCAACATCCCAAAACCCTAAATTTTTATAAAAATCATATATTTGAGTTTCACGCTCCAAACTTCAACCACACACAACAACAAAATCGTTAACCAACACACAGATCATGCCAACACACATCATGATCATATTACCACACAATTGCAAAATTATACATCAATTGCTCAGAACATAGATAAGAGAACAACAATCATATAGAGATATAGAAACTCACCCACATGTTACCATACAGTCCTTATACAATAGGAAATCTCACCCTCACCTTAGAATTCCTAGCAATGAGTACTTCCATAATGGTTTCTCTTTTCTCCTTCCTTGCCCTAACCTTTTTCTCTGTTATCTTCTCCCAACTTTGCGTAGAATGCAAAAATTGATCCCCATTCTCTTAATTTGTTTCCTTTTTCTAATAAAATTATTCTCACAATATGATTTTCCCTTATTTGCCCCAACTTACCCTCAGGTAATTACCTTTGTGCCCCTAAAATCTCTACACACATAATATTTATTTTATTTTTCACTAATTAATACAATAAAATAAGTAAAATATTATTTTTAATTAACAAAACAACTCTAAATTATTTCTATTCACTTCTATCATCTATCCACACCCACAAACTCAATGGCACATACCCCGCCAACACCTTAAATTCTACTATCTAATGCCATTACTCTACACCGAATGGCTCCTCAAACACACCAAAACATCAATCAACACATACAAGTTAGTCCTTGAATTTCACTTATGTTACTATTCTGGCCTGGGCCCCGGCATGACCGGGCAGACCCAACCCAATGATACTCAGTTAGGCCCAATCCAACTTGGGCCACATCTGTCGAGCACAGGGTCCCCGCCGGGCAAACAATGACACCTCCGCGGGCAGAACCTTCTCCCTTGTCGAGCAGAACGACATGTCCTTCACACGTTCTCCACGTGCTCCCCTCCGCGGGAACACGTCATCAACCAACTGCCCACCTTCGAAAGAGCAGGTCAACCCACTCTCCGGAGTTCACGGAGCAGTTGAATTAGGGCGAAGACCACGTTCATGTCTTCACTACGTCACGTAAACCTTAGTAGTCATTTGGGTTGGGCCTGGCCATCCAGCCCAACTCAAATGACCGTTGGCTCTACGCTGAGGTCTCTCTATAAATACCCTATTTCACAAGAGGATCAGGTATTCTCTTCTTACCCTTTTCTGTATTTGCTGTCACTCTGTCCAAACTCTTACTTTGACATCAGAGTGTCTTGCAGGTACACCCCCATCTCCTTTTCAACACCGGTGAACAGGCAGCAGATCAACGGCGTGTGGCAAGTCCTTGGTCCCCTTCTGATCAGGTCAGATCAGTTACTTTATTTAATTCATTCCGTCAAGGTCATTAGTACAAATTTAAGTCAGCATATATAATTAAAAACTGATATATTGTTTAAAGTGCGAGGGTTATGTTTTCTGGTGAATCTCACAATTTAAACAATGTATCAGTTTTTAACTACATATGCTAACTCATATTTATACTAATGACTTTGTTATCACGTTACGTCATTTAGACTTAATATTTTTGTTTTTTTGTTTTTAAATTGAATAAGGTAATGTAAATGAAGTTAAAACATTAACTTGAAATATTTTATAATTAAAGGATTAAAACAAAATATTAAATTAATGAGTAATGATAACAAGTGTCATCAGAACACTGATTAAGAAATTAAAAAGATAAATTATACATCATTTAAGAAATTAAAAATACATATTTTTTTCTTAAGATATATGTATTCAATACACTGAAATCATAAATAATTATTACTTTTTTAATAATCTTATGTGTATTCGATGAATTAATCGGTAATATTTTTCTTAACTAAAAAAATCTGAAGGTATTTTTTATTTACGGTTTTTGTTCCGTAACTAAAATATTATATATATATATATATATATATATATATATATATATATATATATATATATATATATATATATATATATATATATATATATATATATATATATATATATATATTTGCGTCATTTCAACACATTTCGAGGGTGACGAGTGTAATTTTCCAGAACTATATTGTTTTGCACACGCCAGTGGCCCACCGTGTTCCTTCTTTCCTCGACGAGTCTCCAACTTTTTTTTCGAAAACAAAAGAAAAATCCCTTGTCACGTTCGTGTGGAAGATTCTCTCAATCTATTTGCCTTTTTGCGAGAAAATAGGAAAAAACTAGCAAATTGAACTGAAGTGAAGAAGAAACGAGTTAGGCTGCGAGTCAAATCACTCTTTGCAATGGAGACGTTGGAGTTGAAAGAGGTTCAGAAACTCGAAGGTCACACCGATAGGGTTTGGAGCTTGGATTGGAATCCGGCTACCGGTCATGCCGGTATTCCGCTCGTCTTCGCTTCTTGCAGCGGCGATAAAACTGTTCGAATCTGGGAGCAGAACCTCTCTAATAACCTCTTCTCCTGCAAGGTCTCTTTCTAAATTTCTGCAGTGTCCGTTTCAGTTTTTTTGGATGTAGAGTAGAATCGCTTTTGAATAGCAATTATTGACGTATATTGTATGTTATAGCTCCAGAATCAATTTTATCATCTGTTATAGAAATAGCTTATACATAAGCACTATATGATAATTCTTTAAGTATAAGCGCTTAATTAGGCTCTTTATCTAAAGAGGACCAATAGAAGGAATTTTACTTGCCTTAAAATCAATGTAGAATTGCTTTTTTTTTTTAATATATAAAAAATAGTCAAATATCCAATGCTTAGCAATTGGATCAATTTTAGCTACCTCAAATGTGAGTACTTTCATAAACAGATATGTAGTCGGTGGTTTGTAGTATAGTTTATAACTGGAGTTCCATACTTTCAAGTTTGGTGGCAATTTCTTAATGATGATACTCGTGTCCGAAAATGAAATGCAGGCGGTTTTGGAAGAAACACATACTCGAACTGTTCGATCTTGTGCTTGGTCGCCGTCTGGGAAGTTGTTAGCCACTGCAAGTTTTGATGCCACCACTGCCATATGGGAAAATGTTGGGGGTGATTTTGAATGTGTTTCTACTTTGGAGGTATGCTACTGCCATGCTGTGAGCCTAGTCTGTCGGTTTCTTCTTTCTATTTGGATGTGTGCATTCTTTGATCATTGCTATTTTTTCCCTCAGTTTTTATTAACTTGCTTTGAGATATATGCAAATTTTATGGACAGGGACATGAAAATGAAGTAAAGAGTGTATCTTGGAATGCATCTGGAACTTTACTTGCAACTTGTAGTAGAGATAAGTCTGTTTGGATATGGGAAGTGCAGCCAGGCAATGAGTTTGAGTGTGTCTCAGTGCTGCAAGGTCATACTCAGGATGTGAAAATGGTTAGGTGGCACCCAACAGAGGATATCTTATTTTCATGTAGCTATGATAATACTATTAAGGTAATCCAAAAATTAGAAATGGCTTCCGTTCCTTAAGTGCAGCCATTTTAATTTAATTTCTGATACTTAGTTTTACATGCTTCTTGTGAATGAACTTGCTTCAACACTGTGATGACATTATACTGCAATCAAATTTCTTCCAGGTCTGGGCAGATGAAGGTGATAGTGACGATTGGCAGTGTGTTCAAACCCTTGGAGAACCCAACAAGTAATACTTCTCGACCTCTCCCGTCAGCCCAAATTTTGTGTTTTCTTCTTTTTCTAAGCATGGTTGTTTAGGCCAGTTTATGCAGGATGACCAAATTTTTAAGCTAATTTCTATCTTGTTCGCAATTATGTTATTCAGTGGGCATACATCTACTGTTTGGGCCCTCTCCTTCAATACTAGTGGAGACAAATTTGTTACCTGTAGGTATGTCAATCATCACTTCATGCATGGGATTATTTTTGGTCTTTTCTAGAAGTTCTATGGTGTTTTGACTCCAACTCCTTATGGCAGTGATGATCTTACCCTGAAGGTATGGGAAACAGACAATGTAGGGATGCAACCTGGTGGTGGATTTGCTCCTTGGTAAGTTTTCTCTTAACATATTAGCCTTTAGGGTGCATATTTTTTCCTCGAGATTTTTAAAGTTATTGATTCTCTTTGGCAAATAGCATTCCCATGTTCTACTTATTTCGATTTCTGTGATGAGGGTAGGTATCCTCATTTGCATGACATGGCTGTGGAAGTTATAATGTTATACATGTTAACATCCATTCCCATTTGTTTACTAAAATTGCTATTGTATTGCATTTGTGCAGTCACCTTATCTTAAGCTCAAGTTACTCAACTATAGGCTTAAAGTTATTCTGATATCAGATCTGTTGATGGTATTCCATATTTCATCAAAATGCGGCCTTCAAGTCATAATCTAGAGATGCATTATTATTTTAATCATTAGAATTATAATTTGTCCCTTATACAAATGAGGGATCAATCATTTAATGATGGCATATTTGTCCTATCCTTTTTTGGAACACATTAATCGTATCCCTTTCTGACAAAAAAATTGTATATTTTGGGTACACATGTTAATCATATCCCCTTTCAGACAAAAATATTGTTTATTGTTTTCTTTTGGGATTTTCAGGAGACATCGTTGCACTCTTACGGGATATCATGAGCGGACAATTTTCTCAGTTCATTGGTCAAGGTAGTTGCTTCTTGGTTAAATAAAGTAAAAGTTTCATCCCACCTCTTGACATTTATGTCAATCTTTTACTGGTTTGTTTATTTAACTAACTTGTCATTCAATACTCACGATATCGTATGTATGTCATTAACAAAGTCAACGGTCATTGTTTTTACATATGCCGACTTCTTTAAAAAATTTTAGCCAATAAGCAGTAAATGTTGTAATGAAAAGATAAATTATTTATCTCCTTTGAAGATCGGGGAAGATGTATAGGAAAAATGAATAGGCAATAAAGTGAGTTGACTAGTTTCAATTATTTGAAAGATAAAATCTTCAAAATTGAAGCAAATTATTAACAAATTCAATTTTCCTATCAACTATTTAAATTCCCGCCGCGAATTAGTCAATAAGGTATTATATACAAGAGCGGAAGTAGTATTATCATATTATGTTGTATCATAGAACCCAGAAAATATGAACAGTGTATTATTTACTGCAAATGGTTGAGCTTGAAGCTCTTATAATGGTGGATGAAACAGAAAACTAAACCAGAGTTCCATGAACTCCTAAACCTGAGCTTAATTGCTCCTAAACCAAAGAGTATCTCTCCTAACAAACTTTCTAATTGAATTACTCATTTCCCCCCGTCTTTTATAACAGAATATTTCCTAAAATTCAGGAATTATCCTGACTAATTATTATTCTCTTAGCTTCCACAACCTTCTAGAAGCTGTAAGTGTGTGAGGTGTGTGACTTGGACCCAATGATTAAGTCATCCGATCCACTGGGTCATGGTGTCCTAGCATTGTACTGGTAAATCAGCCAATGCCCATATTTGGTAAATATGCTAACACTTATTTGTATTGTGGATGAATACCCACTTTCTCTCTTTGGATCACAGACAAGTTAATTTCATTTTCAAGATTTTATGGATTCAATAATTTGTTATTTCCATTCTGCTCTTTTTAATCAAAATGAAATAATGACTTGTGCACTTCATGTCTGTCGTTAAGATAGTAGAAGAGTTCCAACTGATCTAGTTTTGGCTTGTATAATAACTTCTATGATTTTTTATTCTGCAATTTTTGCAAATTTTGGCTTGTATGTTCCTGATGCTTTTGTATTCCGCAACTTCTGCTGTTGTGCTAGGGGAGGTATCTTTGCTAGTGGAGCTGCTGATGACGCCATCCGGCTTTTTCTGGATAACAATGAAAGTCAGGTATGTCATTGTTTTAGCTTTTCAGGATGTTGTATGCAGTGTTGTTAAAAACCGGTATAGGGCTGTTATACCATCATTAATATATGTATCGGAATTTGGGTAGTTGATACAATATGTCAACTCCTTTATTTGCAGTATAGTGATACACAATTCTCTATTTCTCATGTTGAATTTCTGGAAGTCCGCTATTTTCTGCTGTCCGCCACCATATGAATAATACTGTGATTACTCATAAATCAAGCCATTTGTGATTGGTACTAGTATTTCATGAAATGAATATAAGAAGAAATTATAGCTGAAAATGTCATTTTCATTCACATGGGATGCCACTGGGAGCATACAAGGTTTTAACATCATACATTTTAGTCTGATATGCACGAAGAGTTCACATAAAAGAGAAGCATCAGATTCTTTATATGTCCATTACAAGTTCTTTTTCGTGGTGCAGAATCATCTCACTTTAAGTCATGGACACGTAATATGATTCTATTAGCTATTTTTGCTTATGGATTAACCTGGAATTTTTTGGTCTCTTTGTAGTCTGTACTTGCAATCACAAGTGCAATAATAACAACAATAACAAAAAGGTTTAACAAACCAATGCAAAATGTTTCTTCATTTACAACTTAAGTGGAGAAAATACTCAACCTATCAGCTATACTGTTAACTGTATTTGCAACTTCATTTATCTACTTCATGTTTTTTCTTTGAACAGTGTTTTATTTTGAAGAGATTAGCATGTGGTTACTGGTGAACTTGATCAGCTTGTTTCCAATCTTTTTCTTAACATAATCCTCTCCCTTCATAAATTTGTGAACTTGAACCAGATCTTTTTGTTTAGGCGCTCTTCTCGGTGTTTGGGTGTCTGAAAACTTGAGAGTTTTGAACATCAACATTTGTGCAGTTGTTATTAAGAGATAAATCCTTATGTACATTGAATTCCAAGTCCCTGAAAAATTCAAACTTGTATAAGAATGTGCTGATCGGCATAAAACTAATGACAAACTTATTGAAGTATTGCTTAAATGATTTTATATCTTTATAGATTGTAGATGCATCTCACTATTAATGAACATATTAAAACTGACTAAGCATCACTGCTTGCTTATGACACAGGTTGATGGTCCTCTGTACAAGTTGCTATTGAAGAAGGAGAAGGCACATGACATGGACATAAATTATGTGCAGTGGAGCCCTGGGGTAAGATTCTTGGACATTACTTTAGTGGAATCACATTGGCGGTGAAGTGAAAATCACTTTACACACACCAAAGTGGGTGGAATGGTAGATTTCACTACTATTATTATTAGATAATAACCTCGTAACTGATTGTGTGTGTGATATGAAGCACGAACTCTGAAATTTCCCTCAAATTAACTAGTAGTTGATCAATGAAGTGACATTTAGAAAGAACATTTAAATTTTCATCTACAATACATATAAAATTTCTAGCTACAATTTTATCAGACATTTAAGATTTAAGCTTGTTGCTGTTGCTCCTACAGTACACAGAGTTAGATAGCTTATACGAACTTATTTAGATAATGTTGAACTATGTTAGGAATGGTTTTGCTTTGTGTCTTTCTGTTGCAATTTGTTTTATAAGGTCTGCAATTGGTTATTAATCAAACATATTTTGCATACTATTGCTCGCTAAACAGGAGAAGCCGCTATTAGCTTCAGCAAGCGACGATGGGACAGTCAAGGTGTGGGATCTGGTATCATAGTGGGATTCTGGTTTAGCATATTTGCCGCATCAGCCGCAGAAATTATACTGGTGGAGTATAATAGTAGAAATGCTAGATGTAAAGGCATCCTCATTGTTCTTTTTGTTTAATAGATTTAGTAATCTATAATAATTTTAAATAGATTTTGAATGTTGTATTTTTTTAAACCTAAATCAAGAGTGTGATTGTAAGGCATCCTCATTGTTTTTTTTCTATGACAGATTTAGTAATTTATAATAATTTAATTTAAAATAGATTTGAATATTGTAAATTATATTTCCTGTCAGATAAACTTTGCATTTGTGATCAAGTGTTGCTCAGGATTATTCACCTAGAGTGAATTAGTATTCTAAGTATACTCACTTCAATCTATTGGAAAAGGGGTTACCCTAACAAGAGAGAAACTTGCCAAGCTTGTGCATTTGTTGGGTTGGAATTTCTAGTTCTTAAGTTAACTGATAATCATAGAAATGTTACTTTATTTTCATTTGAGTTTTTCAAAGATCAATAAGAAAATGGTGAAAGTAACATTTATCAGTCAAAACAAGAAATGAAAACACATGTTTTGTCAAAACAAACAAACAGACCTTAGTTTTTGCTAGTTGTTAGCATTAGTACACCAGTAGACATCACTAGTATATCCAATGTAAGCCATTTGTAAAGGCCGAATATATACTGCACATGGAGGACTAACATATTAAGAAACGAGAATCATAAATGCCATAATATAACTTCAATGTTAAAATGCTAATAGTTCATTGCATTTTGACATTAAGTTTTCCTATACTAGAACATTTGATACACAACTCATCATTTTGATTTAGAAATTTTGCTACTATGGCAATGTTTCTTCTAGAAACAAGTTAGTTTATTGAAGTGTTGCATGAGCATGAGTGGGATTATTTGATAAATTGACTAAGCTAACAAAAATTTGTCTATTGGAAAAATGTTAATAGTTTCAATTATATTTGTTTATGAAATACCTCTTAAACAACTAATGAAAATCAAACTCTCAAAGTATATACAGAAAAAAGTAAACGATTATACAAAAATCAAGATAAATTGATAAACCACCCATGATGAATATATGGTTGAATTACAGAAATGAAAAGTAAAAAAGTTCTAACACCTGTTATCTATACTTAGAGGAGCAGCATTGGGTCTAGCAGTACCCTGTTGAACCAAAGCAGCACGTGCCATAGTGATCTTGCTTGGAATCAAAGGAGCATCAAATGCAGTGCAATCTATCCAATCCTTCAACAATTCCTCTTGACCCCATATTTCAGGTATCCAAACCCTTCCAGCTACTTCAACTCTATGCCTCTTCAGCCTCTCTCTCTCACTCACCTCTTCCAATTCCTCCTCATCCACAGTTGTTAACTCTTTTGTTTCAACTTCATCATCATCCATAGCAGAAGCCATTTTCTCCTTCTTGCAAAGAGATGAGTTTTGTGTTGCATCTTTATCTTTATCTTTATCATCATGGTTTTGGCTCTTTTGGACGCTTAAGAGAAAAGGGTCATCTTGTTTTCTCACAAAGTTGGCATCTTTAGATGGAAGAGAAGGAATCTTGTCATCAGATTCAGCAGAGGAGTGGTGAGACATTATGAAAAGGTGGTTGTTTTCTTTCATGGAAAGAAGAGAGAGAAGAGAGAAGAGAAAAATATAATCTTCTTGTTCAAGTTTATGTTGCTGTTGTTGATGTGTTGAGATCTTGTTGTTGTGAATAGAGAGAAGATTTGAAATGTGAGGGTTGCATTGCATGTGTTGTGTGGGGAATAATGGAATGGGTGGGAAATTAGTTTACACGTAGTCCACAAGAGTTTCTTTTCTATGGTAAGTGACAAACCTACGTGTCATGTTTCAGATGTGATTTTTTAGATGTGTGGCTTAATTCCTATTTGGTGATGCTATAAATTATTAAATGTCAAAATTCAACATATATATACATTAAAATAAAGTACTATAGTAGAACTAGAAGTGAAACATGTGGGATTCTTTGGGTTGATTTTTGGAGTATTGTTGTGAGGTTGATGTTGATTTGTATTCTCTATGTCTAACTATATGTGACTCTTGGCTTTCAACCACAAAAGGTTCAATGTATGATGCTTATATATATAAAAAAAATAGTAATGGAAAATTAAAAAATATAAAATATGACCTTTTTATTTTTTTTTTATATTTTAAAATTTGTCTATTAAATGGACATAAATATATTTTTTAAACTTACCTTTGCTAGTCCTATTTTTATTTCATGATTAGAAAAATATATAAATAGTTTTTTTTTTTTAACACATAAATACTTAGTTGTGCTATCCTTTTTATGTGACCTACACTCAAAGATGCTTGAAGAGATATTTGTTTGTTTTATTTCCCATTTTAGGAATGAGGAATATATTGTGAGGTCATTAGCCAATTTATAATAATTTTTTTTCTTTCCCTTTCAAACAAATATTTTATGAGGTGATTAGCCAATTTATAATTTCTTTTTTTTTCTTTCCTTTTCAAAACATAAATGGGATATGTATCCTACGCTGCGAGGTCATCCATATTATACGATGTTATAATATTTATTTGTTAAAACTATAATAACTTTTAGAAATTAGTGGGATATTAGACAAAGTCTTTCTTTGAGAAATAAAATAGATAAAAAGATATCATAAAAATAAAATAAAAATATAACAACATAAAATTTAAACTCCCATTTAGGAGTGTACATGAATAATCATTTAGTATGAACTAATCCATTTTTATGGTTATAATTTATAAGTCAATCCATTTTTATGGTTATGATTTATAAACTAAACCACTCACTACAAAAAAAACATTGAATTAGCTAGGGGCATGAGATAGGGGGAAAATCCCTCACTAAAATAAAACCATTTGCTTGGGGTTAAACCCCTCGCAAACTGCAAAATAGGGGAGAAAAAAAATATAAACATTTAGCTAGGGGATACCCCTCGCAATGAAGGAGGGAAAAATTTTTGAATTTTGAAATGCACTTTTACTAGGGTTTAGCGCAGTTTTTGGTGGAAAAGCTGATCAATTTGCGAGGGGTTAGCCCCTCACCACGTTACGTTCACAATTTGCGAGGGGCAGCCCCTCACCAAATGTCCTACTTTAGTCAAATCCCACTGAAAAAACATTTATTCCTCTGGATTACTCTGCAAAACGGTCTGCCACACGCAAAAGGTGGCTAGGGGATGCCCCTCGCAAATTGCATACTAATACCCTGCGTGGAGTGGCCCCTCGCAAATGCTGTCACGTCATGTGACCGTTGAGCATTGCGTGGAGTAGCCCCTCGCAAAATAAAATATTAAATGCGAAATTTATTTCGCATCCCACACATTTATTTCTTCTGTCTTCTCCATTTCTCCCACAATCTTCTTCTTTCCCATTTCATTCTTCTTCTTTTCCATTTCATTCTCAAAGGTTTTCTTCTCTGTTCTTCTTCTTCCTCCTTCATGTTCCAACATTTATATTCCATTTGATAAAAGTAAGTTATTTTATTTATGTATATTATTTTCGTATTTATAGTTTATTTTATTATTTAGATTTATTAATTAATTTTATTTATTTATTTGTGTGTTGCATGTATTGGGGATAATATAAGTTATCAAAATTTTGTCAAGAGGAACTAGAAATTTGGAAGAAGATCAAAAGGTACACACTTTTGTTTTTTCTTAAAATTTTAGATGAATATTTATTTCGAAAATTATGTGTGTTGGTGGCTGTTGATAAAACAAATTTTAACATAACATATTTATGTATATTTTTATGAAATAAATTATGTGTTGGTGGATGTTGAAAATTATGAATATTTTTATGAATATAACAGATATATATATATATATATATATTTAATTATAAAACAGATTTTAATATTTATATTATAAAATAGATTTTAATTAAAATATTAATATTATATATATATATTATAAAACATATTTATATGTTATAATATAAAACATATTCAGATTTATATTATAAACACATTTAAAACATATATTATAAACATATTTATAAAGATATTATAAATAGAATATTATAAAACAGATTTGTATTATATATTATTTATTTAAAATAGAATATTTATTTATTTATTTATTTAAAACAGAATATTTATTATTTAAAACTGTATATTTATTTAAAGCAGAATATTATATATTATTTATGATTTATTTATATAAAACAGAATGTTTATTTATTAAATATTAAATAGATTATAAAATTAAACAGAATATATTATTTATATTATATAAAACAGAATATTTAAAACAGAATATTTATATTATATTATATTAAAACAGAATATTATTTATTTATATTATATTAAATATTAAACAGAATATAAAACATATTTATATTATATATTATTTATTTAAAACAAAATATTTATTTATTTATAAACATATTTAAAACAGAATATTAAAACATATTATATATTATTTTTAAAAACAGAATATTTATTTATTTAAATTTGAAAACATATTATATATTTTTTTTATAAAAGAATAGATTATATATATTAATATATATTTTTATTTAAAAAGTATGAGTTAAATCATAAAAATATATAATTTATAATATATTTAAGTTACATATACAAACTTTTTATATAAAGTATATAATTTGTAATATATATATTTTCTAAAATATTAATATAATTTGTAATACATTTTCTAAAATATAATATATACATTTTCATAAAAATATTTATTTTTTAAAATATTAATATAATTTAGTAATATATTTATAAGAAACGTAATATTCTTGTAAAAACTATGTAAATTTGTAAAAATATGTTATAATTTTATTTTAAAGTTGTAAAATATTTTATACTTTAATAACATATTACGTACATAATATTTGTAGAAACATATAATTCTATAATTTGTAAGTTAAAATGTTATAAAGCATGTAAATTCGTAGAAACATAATATGGTATATATTAGGTAGGTAAATAGTCATAAGTTTGTAGGTAGATCAATTCCCCTTTTCTTAAATATAAATTTAAACATGAACAACCTTATACATGTGCAGTATGGAATATTACCAGTTCTATCGTAGTTGGATGTATGATAGAACGTATCCAGGAAGACGTGGGCTTAAACCACATTTTAAAGAAGGAGTTGTTGCATTTCTTACTTATGCGTTTGCTCAAGAATGTTGTCGAAGCGAAGGAGGGGTAAGATGCCCGTGTTTAAAGCGTGGTTGCAGAAATATAATTAGTGACCCAAATGAAGTGAAACGACACTTGGAGAAAGATGGTTTTAGGCCAAATTATTGGGTGTGGTATTCTAATGGAGAAATACTGGCAGAGATGAATAGAGAGGCTTCAAGCAGTCAAACACATATTGGAGTTGAGATAGGCAGAGAGACATCAAGCAGTCAATCACATTTGCAAGACCATGAACAATTTAATCTCATAGATGATATGGTTGGTGATGCATTAGGGGTGAATGTGACTTATGATGAACCTCAAGATTTTGATGCAGATGAGCTCCCGAACGAGGAAGCGCAAAAGTTTTATCAACTGTTGAAAGAAATAAATATACCACTGTTTGAGGGGTCTTCTGACTCCATGTTATCCATGTGTGTGAGACTCTTGGCCGCGAAGTCAAATTGGAATGTTCCTGATCAGTGTTTAGAATTCTTTGCAAAAATGATGTTGGATGCGACTCCTGTGAAAGAAAATATGCCTAAAAGTTATTATGATGCAAAGAGAATGGTGTCGAAGTTGAAACTAAAAGTGAAAAAGATTGATTGTTACATTGGAGGTTGTATGTTGTTTTATGATAACGAGTTTGGTACAAATGATGGGGGATTGGAGGAATGTAAGTTTTGTTAGAGTCCGAGGTATTTAGTTCATAGTAAAGGTGTTGATCAAAAACAAAAACGAGTTGCAGTGAAATCCATGTTCTATCTGCCAATAATTCCTAGATTGCAAAGGATGTTTGCGTCAATTCATAGTGCAAGCCAAATGACATGGCATCATACAAATTCCAATAGTTCAGGCATGATGCGACATCCATCTGATGGCGAGGCATGGAAACACTTTGATAGAGTACATACAGATTTTGCAGCAGAACCCAGAAATGTCAGGCTCGGGTTATGCTAAGATGGTTTTACTCCTTATATCCAATCGTCAGCAATTGCCTATTCTTGTTGGCCAGTTATTGTTACCCCATATAATATCCCTCCTGAGATGTGCATGACGAAACCTTACATGTTTTTGACATGCCTCATTCCAGGACCGTCGAGTCCAAAAGCGGGAATAGATGTTTATTTGCAACCTTTAATTTATGATTTAAAGAGGTTGTGGATTGGAGAATGGACTTATGACGTGTCTCGCAGACAAAACTTTAATATGCGAGCTGCTTTGATGTGGACAATTAATGACTTTTCTGCATATGGCATGTTGTCTGGTTGGGGTACGCATGAAAAAATGGGATGTCCACATTGCATGGGACATACAAAAGCATTTACTTTGCAAATGGGTGGTAAAAGTTCATGGTTTGACTGTCACCGTAGATTCTTACCTAAGAACCATGTTTTTAGAAAAAATAAGAATGCTTTTAGAAAAGGAATAAAAGTAACAGATCTTCCTCCCCCTCGACTGTCACCGTATATTTTTTTGAAGAAAAAAAAATTGATTTATTTTACGTGAAAATTGAATAGATATTGTAATTATAATTTGATTACCATTTTACAATTGTCGTAATAAAATTAATTCAATCAGCATAATGTTTTTTTGATTATGCGTGAATTCTCACCAATTTTAATAGTTATTATACCGAATAAGTTACAAATAATTTATAGTAATAGAATTAACTTTTTTTCACTTTGAAAAACAAAATTCTAATTTTTTTAAAAAATAACTTTTTTATAAAATTCAAAAAAATTAACTTTAAAATAGTTCAAAATATAAAATTAGTTTATAAACGTGTACATGATAAAACATGAAAATAGACAAACATATCAATTTAACAAATAATAAAATTTGAATATCCAATAATTAAACCACATTACTATTAAAAAAATCGATTTATATTTAAATAATAAAATAAATAACCATATTTATATTTTAACATTTGATTTGAATTTTTAAAAATAAAACAATTTAAATACTAATTTGATTAACAATCATATCAAAACAACTTACAATACCCATATTTTTAACACATTTTAAAAAATAATGGACCTGCGCTCCTTGATTAAGGATCAGTTAACATAAAATTTATATCAATGTGTTCAACCATTATAGAGTTGTATCTAACAAGATTTTCGATGATAAAATAATTTAATTTCAAATGCTTCATTCCACTACAAGTTTTGTTATTCTTTGTGAAAAACACTAAAATAATATTGTAATAAAAGATCCTCATCGGGTTGCTAATGGAATTAACAAAACGAAGTCCTATCATCAAGAGTTTTTGTCTACATAGTAGAAAATAAAACAAGAGTTTGTCTCTTGATCTTTTATGATATTGTACATCCAGTAAACATAAAGAAACATCAAGAGTTTGACTTTCTATCATCGCGGCACCCACAAAGATTTGAATTTGTGTACCCTTTGATTTCTAAATTGTCAAATCTTCCATATGTTATAATATACTCTTTAATATTTTGTAAGTACTTCATGGCGAGTACTTCCATTTGTTTATATTTTTATCATTCTCATGGGAAGAGGGCGAGGGCGAGAGCGGCCGCCGAAGAACACGGTGCCTCCGCCAACAAAATCCCCACTAATGTCACCTCCAAAACAACAATCAGAACTGAGAAGCCATCAAGAAAGCAGCAGTAGATTAATTGAAGAAGAGATTCGGGAAAATTGAAACCCTGGATGAACGTCCTGGTAAACCTAATCAAGAAGAAATAGAAACCTCCACTCAATCGAATGATGCCTTACTAGATGCGGTTCCTAAGAGATCTGAGACTGGAAAACCTATTCATGAAGGAGCCTCTGAGGAAGGTCGCAAACTATGGGTAGATGTGCTAAAGGATAATAGAAATCCGACGAAGGACAGAGCGATGAAATTCATCGCACCCCAAGTCGTGAATGGGAAACTTGAAGTTGTAATTGAAGAAGATGATATTATCTCTGAAGTCAAATTTTGGGAATCCTCTTTGATTCTTTACGCAATGGGAGTTGACCTAAGCATGAATGTGGTTAAGAATTTCATGACCAAGAATTGGAACTTTGTTCAATTTTCGGATATGTATTACAATGATGAAGGTTATTTTATCCTTCGATTCAAGTCATTCAAGGACCGAGATAAAGTTTTGCTGAGAGGACCATACATGATAAGAAACATCCCTCTGCCGATTCGTGAATGGAGGCCAGGTTTCAAGGTCAAAGATGAACTTCTGCGAACTCTACCTATTTGGGTGAAACTGCCTCAACTACCCATCATTCTGTGGGGTGATACAAGTTTAAACAAGATAGGAAGCGCTCTTGGAAACCCCATCATGACAGATGAATGTACGACAAACAGACTCCGAGTATCCTATGCGCGAATACTTGTGGAAATGGATATTACAAAAGAACTTCCACAAACAATTACCATTGGTGATAATGAAGGAGAAAAGATCCAACAAGCTATTGAGTATGAATGGAGACCCCTATTCTGCAGTAATTGTCAAAAGGTTGGCCATAGTTGTGACAAACCTAAAGTGACACAACAATGGAAACCTAAACCTGCACCACAACATACAGGTAATGTGAAAACTGTGATGGACAACACCATTGAAAGAATTCCTAGGACTGTAGGAAACAACAACACTGCAGGTAACAAGGTTATTACTGATATTGCTAGTTCCCCTGTTGTGGTTAACACTGTTAAGGGTAATACCTTAGCTGAGATTTCCACTGACCTGGTTAGTAAGGCTGCTGATCCACCTCCAGAAAATGAAGTTAACCTAATTGAGCAGGTTGAGGCAGTTATGGAAAAATGGATAAAAGTTATAAGAAGTGGTAAGGAAAGAGGCAAACAAAAATTTAACCCCAACAGTGTAAACAAGATTGTTCGTGATAATGGATTTGAGGCTCTTGAGATTTCGAAGGATCTTATAGAGTCTCAAAATACTGGCCAATGATTACATCTTGGAACGTGAGGGGGCTGAATAAATTGGGGAAGTTAAAGGAGATTAGCTCTCGTCTCTTTAATCTTCACCCTAAGATTGTAATCTTACTAGAGACAAGAGTTAAGCATGACAAGGCGAGAAAAATCAGAGATCAGCTTAACCTCAAAGGCTAATATCTTGACAATTACAAAGAACATTACAATGGCAGAATTTGGATCTACTGGGATGAGAGACAATGTGATGTCAGAGTGATAAAATGCACACCACAAATGATACACTGTGGTATCCATGATGTAAATGGAGTATTCCAAACTTGGATGACAACTATCTATGCGCTGAACCAACTTGAGCAAAGAAGGAAACTGTGGGAAGACTTGAAACAAATTCATGACAGCCAACAAGGCCCTTGGTTCCTTATGGGCGATTTCAACAATTTAACTAAATCCATGGACAGAATAGGTGGGAACCTGGTGACTGAAAAAGAGTTTGAAGATCTCAGAAGCTTGATGGATCATGCTGGCTTGTTTGAGAAGGATATCACAGGAGACTATTTTACCTGGACAAATAAACACTCTATAGGTACCATTTATTCAAAAATTGACCATGTTCTTGGTAATATAGACTGGCTGCAGGATAATATTGATTTGAAGCTGGAGATTCTCCCTCCTAGTATCTCTGATCACTGCCTTTTAGGCTTGAATGCTGAGAAGATTAACAGAGCAGTACACAAAAAATTCAAATTTATAAATAGTGTGGTGAAGATAGCAGATTATCATGACACTGTCAAACAGAACTGGAACAAAGAGATTACTGGCATACCCATGGCTAGACTGTGGTATAAACTGATGAGATTGCAAGCTCCCCTAAGCAGACTGAGCAAACAGTTTTCAAACCTCCAGCAGACCATTGTCCAAGCAAGGAATGATTTATTACAAACCCAGGAAAGTCTCATAATGGACAGAATGAATACTGAGATCATTGAGAAGGTTAAAACCTATACTGATGAATTTACCCATCTGCAAGAACTTCAGGACCAAATGCTGAGACAGAGGACAAAGATTAATTGGCTTAGAGAAGGCGATACAAATTCATCTTTCTTCTATGCTTACCTCAAATCCAGGACTACAACCACAAATATTAGCCAACTCTATAAAGATGACGGTACCTGTATTCACAACCAGGAAGACATAGAAAAAGAGGTGTGTGAGTTTTATGGAAAATTGATGGGCACAAGGGAACCTATAATAAATACGATTGATATTGATGTCATGAGGGAGGGGCCTCAACTGTCCATAGAACAAAAAGCTGATCTAATTTCACCAGTGTCTGTTACTGAAATCACTAATGCCTTAAAAGGGATAGGTGACCTTAAGAGCCCAGGTATAGATGGTTACGGAGGAAAATTTTTCAAAGCCAGCTGGGACATTGTTGATAAAAATGTTATTGAAGTTGTTACAGAATTCTTTGAGCAGAATGTGATTTATAAAGCTTTCAATGAAACAATTGTTACTCTTATTCCTAAACAGCCGGACGCCAAAATCTTGAAAGATTACATGCCAATTGCTGGATGCTCAACAATCTACAAAATCATATCCAAGATCCTCACAACTAGACTTGGGAAGGTGTTGGGTAACATCATCAGTAAAGCGCAGGCAGCCTTTGTTCCAGGTCAGAAAATCCATTCTCACGTCTTACTAGCTATGGAACTTTTAAAAGGTTAGAATAGAAATACTGGTACTCCTAGATGCATGGTACAATTAGATCTCCAAAAAGCTTATGACATGGTTGATTGGGGTGCTCTTGAAAATATTCTTAGTGAAGTAGGATTACCTAAGAAATTTGTTGATTGGATTATGACCACTATGACTACAGTTTCTTATAGATTTAATATCAATTGCAAGTATACTTATAAGATCAATTCTAGAAGAGGTATTAGGCAATGGGACCCCTTATCCCCTCTCCTGTTTGTAATAATTATGGAATATCTCAGCAGATTACTTTTCAGAATGCAAAAGAATCCTGATTTCAACCACCATGTTAAATGTGAAAGGCTGCAAATCACCCACTTAACCTTTGCTGATGACCTCTTGCTGTTCTCTAGAGGCGATCATGTGTCCATGGATATTCTACAATTAACTTTGAACAAGTTTCTGGATTCTACAGGTTTGAAAATAAACCCTTCTAAGAGTAGGGTGTATTTTGGTAATGTTTCCGAGAATGTCAAATGTGCCATCCTCCAGCTAACCTCCTACAAAGAAGGGTCTTTCCCCTTTAGATACCTTGGTATTCAAGTGACTAGAAAGCGTCTTGCTATTATCCATTACATGCCGTTATTGGACAGGTTATTAAGTAGGATAACTCACTGGAGTTCTAGATTGCTGAGTTATGCAGGTAGACTGCAACTCATCAAGAGTGTGCTCTATGCCATCACAACCTATTGGATGCAATGTATTTGGTTTCCAAAAACTGTGATCAACAAGATCAATGCAATCTGTCGGTCTTTTCTCTGGACATGTGGTAATACTATCAGTAGGAAAAGTCCAGTAGCGTGGGATGATGTTTGTAAACTACATGTGAAAGGCAGACTAAATGTGATGAATTTGAAAATTTGGAATAGTATGCTTATGATAAAACTTCTCTGGAATATCTATGCAAAATCTGATGATTTATGGGTTCGCTGGATACATGCTTATTACTTAAGACATGAAGGTATTCTGACTAGAATTGTTAAGGGATCGGACTCTAGAATTTTCAAAGCAATTCTAATACAAAGGGACAATCTAGTGACTATACAGAGTACATGGAATGATATGCTGCAGACAGGTAAATTCCATGGGAGAAAAGTGTATCAAAGCCTTCTACCTATTACTCCTAATGTTGCATAGGCCAAATTAATTCTTCACAATAAAGCTAGACCCCGTGCAATTATTACTCTTTGGATGATCTTCTATGACAAGTTAGCTACCAAGTCTAGACTTTTCAGATTTAGAATGCTCAATAATAACAAGTGTGTTTTTTGCAATGAAGAGGAAACCATTGATCACTTATTTTTTTGCTGTTTGGAATTGAAGCAAATCTGGATTGGTATTCTTCAGTGGATGGGTATTCAACACAGTCCAAAAATATGGAAAGAGGAAATGCAATGGGTTCTAAGAAATTATGGTGGGAAAGGCTGAAAATCTGATATGTTTAGGCTTGCCCTTACAGAAACTCTTCATGAGATCTGGCTTTCTAGAAATGAATCATGTTTTAATCAAAGAACTGATAAAAGGAAGTGCCTAGATAGAATTATAAACAACATAATGTATAGAGGGTGGACTAGTCCTAAGCTTAGACCACATATAGCTAGGTTGATTTTACCTTAAATTAGTTTTGTTTGTTTGTTGGTTGGATCCTCTGATCGTCTTGTCTTGTACTGTTTTTTTGAGTTAATGTCAAATTTCTTGATTAAAAAAAAAATACAATAGATTAACGTAAAAACTTTAAAATCAAAAGAAAAATCACGACCGTTGTCAAATAACAACTAGAGAATAACACTATGTGAAAATTATTACAACACCTAGACTATCCTCAACCACCCTAAGACTCCAAAACCAAGAGTATAAGAGAAAACATAAAAAGTCAAATACAATCTTAAAATGCTTTTGACTGATACATCTTGAAATGAAAAACATAAATCCTATATATAACATTGAACTTCCATTTCCTTCACAAAACTAAGCGATGTGAGACTTCTTTAACATGTATATTTTCAACCAACCCTAACAATCTCCACCTTGATTGAAAATAATACATAAACTTTCATTGTCTTCACCGACAATCATACTCCACCATAAATAGTATAGTCACTTGAAGATACACCACTCCAAGAATTTCACAATGTCTTCACCGACAATCATAGTTTTTAAAAACTATCATACTCGACCTAAAGAAGAGTATACTTCACTTGAAGTTAAACCACTTCAATGATTTTCCCATGTAAAAAACTAGGTTGAAACTTTATGGTACAACTTCCTTGTTGGCAGGAAACTCTTCAACCATTGAGATAATCTCACAACAAACTTTGTATTAATGCCCATGTGTTAATCCGCTAGCAATAACTCGTCCTTTTCTATGACAGCAGAAATGTCACGAGGACACACTTCTCAATTTTCAGAGAAGATCATCCTATCTCACAGCAAGAGAGACATTGCTAGCATTTGACTCAAAGCCCTTATTTAACGCATCCCCATCGGGACACTTATACTTTATATGTCCAAGCTTTCCATATTTCCAACATCTTGCACTCGTTTCATTGTTTTTCTTCACATACGACCTTCCTCTAGCAATTAACACTGAGTTTTATGAAGTGTTCTCCTCACCCTTCAATCTTCTTTCTTCAAAAATAATCTTACCAGCAACTTCTTTAAAGCTCAAAGTTTCCTTCACATATATTAAAATACATTTAATATGCTCATAGGAAGATGGACGAGACCACATGAGTCTCAAAGCTTTATCTTCATAATCAATATTGACTCCAATAGTTTCTAATTCAGAAATAATACCATTTAGAACGCTCAGATGATCTGATACTTCCGTATATTCATCCATACACAAGCTATGAGACTGCTCTCTCAATAATAAACGATTTGATATACCCTTTCCAAGATATATCCCTTTAAGTTTCTCCTAAAGCTCTTTGGATGACGACGTACCAAGAACATTCAAAAGAATATTCTTAACCAAAGACATGCAGATTGTACTCGAAGCTCTCAAATCTAATTCCTCCCACTTCTCGTTGCCCGGGTTGGAAATGTTTCCTTTCAACACCTTGTATAATCCTAATTGTATCAAAACATATTTGACTTGAATTTTCCACAAGGCAAAATTAATTATTCTACCAAATTTCTCTAAGTCAATCTTTACTACACTTGAAATACTTGACATTTCAACCAAAACCTTCCCTGCGGCAAAACAAAATTTTACCAACCAACACAGAGTATAATTTTTTTTTGTTGATGTGGAAGATCAGTCAAAACTGCAACCACAGAACATACTAAGAAACTTTATACCCCATCAAACCAGACTTTGATACCATTTGTTAGGAAAAAACAAGCATAGAGAAAAAAGAAGAACACAATAACAATACAAGAGATTAACGTGGAAACTCCAAAACTGGAGAAAAAACCACGACCATTATTAAATGACAATCAAATATTGTAACACATAAACTACCCTCAACCACCCTAAGACCCCAATACACTCACACTCTCCAAAGCAAATATTTAACTACCCCTCAGAATGCTCTAAAACCAAGAGTATATGAGAAAATATAAAAGAGTCAAATACAAGCTTAAAGTACTTTTAACTGGTACATCTTAGAATGAATAACTTGAATCTTATATATAACATTGGACTCCCACTTTCTTCACAAAACTAAGCGATGTGGGACTTCCTTAACATGTATATTTTCAACCAACCCCAATAACAACTACCTAGGATGCAAACCATGATCTCCGTTCTAGTAAAAAACTTGAACATACACAAGGCTTTCCAAGACACTTGCAAAAGGTCTATACACCATTACAAAAAATCCACTTCACCTTGGTTAGAAAAGGGATTTTACTTCAGTTTTGCATGAGAGCTAATGAAAGGATCATGCAAACTTGCCACTTTATCCCTCAGTTAGGGTTGAAAATGAGTCGACTCAAGTCGAACTCGCCTTAACTCGGCTCAACTTGATAAGAACTGCTTCATCTTAAAACTTAGATCGAGTTCGACACAAACTTTTTTAAGGTAAAATTCGACCCATTTTATGTTTTTAAACAACTCAGTTCAACTCGTTAGGTTCAAATCGCTCCCTTGCCTGATTTGTCCAAGTATCCTGTAGATTTTGTTGCATTTAATGCATATACAAAATTTTGAAATAGTCAAATTATAAAGTTGAATATTGTACTTATGAGTAATATGTTCTTATTGTAGCACCCCAAAATTTGCCTCATTGTTTTTTGGTCTACTGGCTTATGTTTCACTGCATTTTTGCATTTCTGCATATCATGACATTGGTTCTCGAGACATGGGATCAAGGTATTTCTATGGCTCAGAGTTCTCTTTTATTGCAAGAGTCTAAACAACGAGTGTCAGAGGCGTCGACATTTATTTTGCCCACAATCGAGTGACCGATTTTATTTTATTCAGCAGATTATTTTCAGCACAGGAGACAGGTTACAGGTTATCTCAGGCATTTTCACAGTTATAATGTCCAATGACAAGTTTCAGAGGCTTAACAAGACTTAGAACAGGTGAAAACGGGCGAATGTGCAAGTTTCCTTTCAAATGGCGCATTTTCAAAAGTTTGTGAGTGGTTAACCGATTAACCAATTTGCAATAGCAAATGGTTAATCAATTAACCAAAGAAAAATTTGCACAGATACGTACATTTTCAATGCTGCCACTTTTGGGGTCTATTTTGATCACTTGTGAATTGATTTTTACACCAAAAGAAGGATCTAGAATCACTCTAAATTTTGATTAACTTTCAAAACCAATCCAATTTCTCTCCAATTTTCCATTCCAAATCCCATTCCAATTTTCAAAACATCACTCCAAACCAAAATTCTACTCCTAACCAAGAGTCTATTTAAGTGAATTGACTCCAAATCTCAAGAAAAACCCTCATGATTTCCAATTTTCAGATTTCACACTCCTCATTCTCTAGAATTTGCTCTCAAATTCTCTCAAC